AAGACCAAGGTCTTTAGGGGCAGAGACTATGATTAAGACCAAGACCTTTGGAGGCAGAGACAGAGACAAGGCTAAGACCTTTAGAGGCTAAAACCATGATAAGACCAAGAACTTTAGAGGCCAAGACCTTATATGGTTTTGGTCTTAGCCCACAAACGTCTTGGCCTTGTGTCAGTACTTTAGGTCAGTACTCCATGGTGTCAGTTGGTGAGGTCTTGAGTACAACACTACTGTTGTGCATTACTTTTTTTTTTTCAGAAGCAAACTCCTGGTTGATTCATTGATCAACTCTAGGTGTTGGTAACTTTATAACTTTGACACTGTTCACTATTTGTGTTACAAGCCATGTATGTGGCACTCCAAACTGATAAATGTTGATTTCGTTTATTGTCTGCACTAATGTTCTTTGACATGAGCTGTTAAATGGTTAATTAGCCGTATGTGTAGCTAGAACAACTGTAGGAAATTGATAAACCGGGGTGGGGTTAACTCAAAGCCAAGGTGGATTGGATAGCCTTAAAAAAAAAGGAAAATTCAAGCCTTATAAAAAGCCGCTTTTCAATTTATCTTCATTAGGCAGAATAACCTAAATTGGGTTGTTTTCAGTTGAGCAGTTATATTGCATTTAAATACCTGCCAACTTTTTATTTATCGGAATCTTTGTCTATAAAGTTTATATCACTTCAATCACTTCACAGGCCTCTCATTGCACTGAATATGAAACTTATGTAGAAATCTAACAATGTGTTTTGGTATTAAAATCTGTGTTAAGTTTTTTAAAAAGTAAACAAAAAGATATTTAATTGACAAAATTATCAATTTCCCAATATTCTCTACATCTGTAGCTTTACTACCTAAAAGTGTAAGAAACATTAGATGATATGAGGTTTTTTTCTGATGCTAGTGTTTCTGCTGTCAAGGTGTTCTTAGGGGTTTAAAAAGTTGTGATTCCCATACAGTCACATTTTCCATCTTGGAAGTCTGGTGTAAGGTCCTCTTAATGTAAATGCCAGTGGAAGCTTCAACATGCCATTTTTGCCAGGAATTTGGGTTTCATTTGACTGTATAAGCATCGCGCAATGTGGTTCTGCCCCTCCCCCACCTGTTCCTTAACACTGTTGATCACTCCATTGAGAGAAAGGAACTATATGTTTCCCTTATTTATAATAAAGATGTGTGGAGCTGTTTAGGAACATTTCCAGGCACCAAACACTGTAAATAAGTATTTCCATTGGGTAAACAGTGATACTGTGACACTCAAGGTTGTGGGAATCTCATAGTATCCAATGATCAAATAGGTGTGGAGTTTAAAAACTGATGGCAATGAAAAAAAAGGATGGATCTCAAGACTACAGCCATATTCAGTTGTTAAAATGTATTTAACAACATACTGTGTCTGTAAATTCCCCTTTAGAGAAGCTCTGTTTGTCACAGTCAAGCACCAGGTTGCAGACGCTGATGCCTGGGAGCTCCAGTCTAATGACAAGCTTGTTCAGAGTCATTTGGACCACGTCTATCTTTATTCTGTCGGAAATTGAAAATCCCTCCCGTTCCTGTGTTTCAGTTACAGCTGCTCATTATGTTAGGAGCCCATATCATTAAGCCAGGTCCTTATTATGTGAGCTCCTGCACAGAATGGCTGAGGTGAGTTTCATGGAAAGCAGCACCACCCTGTGTGCAAAAGAGGGCACTGCAGACATATAGAAACCTTTAGTCCTAGCAATGGTTTAAGAGTTAAATGAAGGAAAATAAAGTCTGTATAAATGTATGCACCCTGCTCCTTGTTCTATATCATGCTGTTGTAAGAGGATAAGGTGTGCCGATGGATGGATACTAACTAAGCAGATTGAAGCTCATTAATGCATTAGAAGTACAAACCTAAATTTAGGGGACTGCTTTTAAAATAATTTCCTCAACTTCACAACTGAATCGTTTTCTGCTATGTACAAACCAATTTAATATATGGATTTGGGGGTTTGATTTGACAAATATATATATATATGTATATATATATATATATATATATATATATATATATATATATATATATATATATATATATATATGCTTCAAAACAAATATTTAAAATGAAATTAGTAATTTCATTTTCTCTGAAAGTATTTTAGCTTTGTATTTCTATTTAGGCCCTGTTTTAGCACAGTTGCTAGCATTTTTAAAAAGTAGCAAAAGGGTGCAGAGTTGGTTACTATTTAGCATATGCTGAGTCCATAGTTACAGGTTAGATTCCTGCTTTAATGCAAATTTACAGTGTCCTCCCTCTCTCAGCCCCACCTTTGGTCCTGTTATTAATGATTAAAGGCCAATAATGTCCAAACATTTTTGAAAAAGGAGGAGTTCCATTGTCCAAAGCCCTATTAAAGCCATTTTGCACAGAGATTGTCTTTAAATGAAGAACTTTACCACTAAGTTCTGTTGTAGTGACAGAAGCCTTTACATAAAGCGCAAAAATAATTAACATGGTGGAGAAAAGACAGAGAAACTGACAACCTTCATATTTTAAACCCCTGTGGGACACCATCTGGACACCCCTGGTCATTGAAATAATTTTGTGTAATCCCTGGAATTGTATGAATAAATTGCATTATTGATCATTGCTGATAATACGTCTAAATATGTAATTTTCCTATATATTTGGGGGTCAGTAAATTAAATATATTGTGGGTTTTTTATTTAAGGGTTAGCTCTGAATCACTTAATAAGTCACTTAATAAGTGAACAACAATTATTAAGCCAACAGATTATAAACTAACGGCTTGTCTTCTTTTTACAACTGGGAGCAGCTGACTAGCATCTGAAAAGCTTAAATAACAGTTGAAATGGAAGAGGAAGATGCTATGGCTGAGCAAGAAGAATAGA